GACATTCAGTCTTTGGTCTTTGGTTTGGGGCTGTTAGCCTTACCACTGGTGAGGGTGGGCATTTCTTTGGGTTTATAGGGTGAAATCTGCCCAACACCTTCCTCTGGGTTGGGGTACTAGGAGCTTTTTTTTTTTTTTTGAGTCGGGATCTCACTCTGTTGTCCAGGTTGGAGTGCAGTGGCGTCATCATGGCCACTGCAGCCTCGACCTATTGGGCTTAGGCAATCCTTCTGCCTCAGCTTCCCAAGTAACTGGGACTACAGCTTCCCAAGTAACTGGGACTATTACACCACACCTGGCTAATTTTTGATTTTTTTTTTTTGTAGAGACAAGATCTTGCTATGTTGCTCAGGTTGTTCTCAAACTCTTGGACTCAGGTGATTCTTCTATTTCAGTCTCCCGAGTAGCTGGAAGTATAGCCACATGCTACCACGCCTGGCTAATTTTTTAATGTTTTTTTTTTGCAGATGAGGGCTCCCTGTGTTGCCTGGGTTGGAGGAATAAGAATTTTTACATCTGGAGCTGAGCCTCAAAGGTGAGGGTCTTCCTTCCAGAGGGGGCACACAGGAGCTGATGACAAGAGCTGTGGCGTTTTCCATTGCCTTGGAAATGTAGCAGGGGAAAACACTGGGGTCCCAGAGGCTGGGAAAGCTCCCCTAGTGGGCCTGCAGGTGATTAGGCAGGAAGGAACCGGGAGTGGCTTGTCCTCTTAAGTGAAGACGGCAGCCTGGATTCTACGATGGGCAGCTGACCAAACCTCAGGTCCTGGCTGCATAGACTAAACGGAGCCTATTTGCAGTAACAAAAAAAGGGGCCAGAGATCTCCATGTCTCTAGTTAGAAAACTGAACGGTGGCAACATGCTTCAGAGCAGTTGCTAGGGAGTCTGTAGGGAGCAGCCCACACTCCTTCCTCAGAGGCAATGCCCTTGGGAGCACCAACTTCCCTCATTGATTTGCCTTAGTCTGTCAGATGCGAACAGATTTTTATAAAACCCAAGGAAACATCTGCTGAGAAAAATTAAAGTGAACGAGGAAGTGTTTCTCTGGGGAATCTGTATGCTTGTTCTCTCTTTCTCCTTCTCCTCTAGCTTCTGGGAGGGGTCTTAGATATGGATGAAGATGGGTGTGTGAGTCCTTGTGGCAGGCCACAGGCAGACTAAGAGTCAGAACCAGCCCTTTGCCTTCTTGCCTTGGATCCTTGGGAAGGTGATGGGCTGCGGGCCTAACTGAGTGGGGCGGGCATGCGGCTCATCCTGACCCATGCTCAGTATGCAGGTCACCACATTCATGACACCCATAAGCCCTCCTATTTGCTGAGCATGTCCGGCACTAGACAAGGAGACTACGGAGGAGGGGGGAAATGAATGACAGAACTGAAATGACTCTTCTTCAGTGAAGACTTGGAACTGAAGAGCCAAGGACATGCACCTGCATGTGAGGTGGCTGAGGGGCTTTAGCATGGAGGGTCCTGAGTGGAGTTGGGTGGAGTGGGCTTCCACAAGCATGACCTTTGCAGGAGCCCTGCTTGTTAGGCTGGTCGGATGTTACATTCACTCTATAGATGTGCAAACAAAGCACAAGGATCCCCACCAATAAAGTCACAGCAGAGTGGGGACATAAAGGGAAGAATCCATCATCAAACCCCA